GGTTACTGAAGATGAATTCTAACCCGGATCTTCACGGGTAACTCATTGACAAGATGGCAACAATTGAACAAGAAGAAGCATTTCAGCTGACACTGAGTGACATAGTGTCCCTCTCTATCAGGACAATGCTGTTGTTTACACCATCCATGTTGCAATGGCTGCTGTGTGGAAGTGTGGATACTAGCCTCTAATCCATTGTCATATAAAGAGGCTGTTGTCTTGACAAGAACCAACTTTATTCCTCATAGCATTACAGTACACTGTTTTCCATGTGCTCGGCTCACATACACATCCCATAATAATCATCTGCAGGGGGCATAACTCTTGATCGGATAACTGCTCTAAACTGGCCAATACTGGCACCCATCTCCCTTCTTCTTCAGATATGGCCATTAGTGATTACCACCTAATTGTTAGATCAGCATTCTAGAGGTTGGTGTGACAATAATTAAGTATACAACTTTAAGGATAATAAACAAGAAGTTGTTATCCATAATGTTGTATGCTTCAATATTGATTACCAACTGTTTTCAAATTAAAATAAACCAAACACAATGATAACTGACCTCTATAAGAGACGGAACAAGAATACAGCAAGGAGACTATGTTAAAAAGTAAATAAAACACAGTGATAACTGACCTCTATAAGAGACGGAACAAGAATACAGCAAGAAGACTATGTTAAAAAGTAACTTAAACTCACAACAATATTTCAGTTTGTGTTCACTAAGCTAAAGACTTTTCATAACCCCTGGTAATTTGTACATACACAACTGTCCCAGACTGTCCAAACCTCTCCCTTCCTCACCTGCTCAGATCTCAAGGCAGTACACAGCTGTCTCTCAAGGGTATCCACTAACACATCTTGTCCAGCTGTGGGCAGAATGGCTACGTGGAGAAACTGCTCTGTGGAGATATACACACTACTGTTGGTTACAAGGTTTCAGATCATTTTCTCTGTCATTGAATCAGTGTCCACTAAATGTCCTGAACATATATTTCAGAGGTATGGAAGAAACTCTTATCAAAATTTTGTGAAATCATGAAAGTGACATTTGAATAAAACTATTGCTGTTATATCTTAAATACAATGATATCTGTTACAGACACTGGACTGAAAAATGTCCTCTGAGTAAGTCTATATAGATCTTGGGTGGTGGGGTACCTCACCGGTTAAATCATTTGCCTGTCACACCAAAGACGAGGGTTAGATTCCCTACATGGGTACAATGTGTGAAGCCCATTTCAGCTGTCCCTGCCGGGATATTGCTGGAATATTGCTTAAAGCACTCACTCACTCACTATCTAGATAATGACAAAATACCTTTCAGCATTGCTTCTGCTGCATGTAGATCCTTCTTGTGTGTCACCTGGGCAGAAGGAAACAGTCCAAGTCAGGAAGTTAATCAATACATAACAAAAACTAATCGTTCCAACTGTTATGATTAGCATGATTGAAAAACTTCCTTCTGACATACAAGTTTCTTGGTTAACAGGTGATTATTCCCAGTACTTTCAAAATACAGAAAACTTTCAAACCTTGTCAGTCCTTGATGATATTTGCTTTAGAGGATAACACTTTCATAATATTCAGATCGGTTATATCATTGCACACAATATCTTGTATTGTTGTATTTTTAATACCACACTGATGTTTATTTGTAGTACACTGTACTCTACTCCATGTCAACACTGACTCTACACCAGCATTTTGACATGCTCACCTTCCACAAGTAGGGCTTGCCGGCCACTATACACGATTCACACCAGCGCCGCTTCTTGGCCAGCAGAAGACACTCAGTGCCATAGTCAAAATCAAAGTCGGTACTCTGTCAATAAAAACAGTTAATGACAGACCAACAACAGGACATAAGCTCACTTGACCGTGAGTGAGGAGAGATAAGCTGTACCTAAAAAGATAGGTGCGTAGCAATGAAAAAAATACAGTAATTGACACAATGGAGTTAAGTCAGTGATGTTTATATTGAAATAGGTTTCTCTTCCCCCTGCCTATAACGCATTTTGGGCATGTAAATCCATAAATTCAAGACACCCACTTACCATTTTAAATGTAATTATGCTTTAAACGTTATATATGTAGAGCGTTCTTGTGTGATACAAGACATCTGTTTATTGAAATAAACAACCTGTATTCCTGTGTTATGTTTATCTACTTGTATGCCTGTTTAATGTGGATACTGGAAGACCTCTGGCATCTCATTCACAGCATACAGAGGGAATATCTAAATTCTTATCAGCGTTATGATTAATGCCTCATCATGCTTATAGTTCTGTTTAATGACGTAATCCTTACGGAATCTGTGTTATCATCTGTGTTATTACCTTCTCGTAGGCCTGTTTAATGACATGATACTTAAATCCCTGCGGCATTTCGCTCGCAGCGTACTGACTTCTGTCCAAGGACTCTGTCAACATCCCGTCAGAATCTGACGCAATCACCGTGGATATGAGGGGTCGGGTGACTCCTGATGCCTGGCAGAATAACTATGTCTTAATAACAGCTTAATAACTTAATACCACATACTTTCAAGCATGGGGAATAACAATTAAATTCAAGTAAAAACATCCAGTTTTAAATAACACTTTGTCAGGAGACTGCGAACAAATCTACTGTACTGCGTGAATGGATCGCAGTGTGGTGGCTGATATACATGTGATGTCAATATATACACGTTCACTTACAACATGCGTTATTGAGCAACAGAGTATGGTCTTATGCAGCTTGTGGCATTATCCATACAATATCATAATTCAGTGCAACAGAAATAAATACATTGTACAGATAGGTAAACTGAACCTGGGCCTTTGAGTGAATTGTTTAACAACTAGGCTTCCCTAATGTCCTAACATATTGAGGATTATTTAGTACAGGAAAGAACATTACCCCATGTTTGTGAGCAGCCAAGGCAATGTCTCGGATGAGATCTTCTTCACCAAATATTCTAACTGCATCATGAATTAAGACAACATCTGGTGCACTGCATACTGAAACAGTCAGCATGGATCTGTGGGTTACCGTGGTTACTGCCATGTTATATTACGATAATCACAGATTTTATACTTGCAAAAACATCATCAAAATCAGATGAAACTGTTTTAATTTTTTTATGCTTCTTAATGTTTGACATCAAACAAGGAAATATGACAAAAATGTATCAAATCAATGCGGTAGTTATGAGAATAAATGATCAAACTTATAGTAGACTTTTTATTATTTGAGCATGTTGGGTGTTTAAAAGCAGTAAGGGACAATGGTTATGATCAGAACAAGGAAAAAAGTAAGGGAATCTGAGAAACACTAGACCTCTGCCTTTAATCCATTTGGTCATTCACAAGCCACATTGTTACCATGGATACAGCCATAACGGTTTCATGCACTCTTGTTATCACAAATAAATCAAATATGGTCATCTGCTTATCCTTCTATCTCACAATGCTGACCTGAAAGATTTTCATGTTTTTCTGTCATTCCTGAACCAGTATTAATACTGCATAGTTTCAATCAATTGTACATACCACCTGCAACGGCCTTGATGCCATTGTAGATAGATCTGTGCCTGGTTGGGGACCCAGCAACAACAGTGACCTTGTGGAGGTTGTAGTCTGTTACCAGCTGGAGCATCATGTCCTTGCAGCTCTCCGACACTGTCACAATGATGAACTTGATCCATGGCAACCTGTCTTATACATACTCCAGAAGTCAACAGTTGGAAACTGAGAAGTCATGATTATACTTCACAGATAATATACATTATGTTATGTTTATGAGACTAATCATGTTTACAATACAACATGTGACATTTTTCACAAATTGTGATATTGTTCAAAATTAGATTTTCAGTATGTTAGTATTTTGGATAATTCTGAGGGGTTGTGTATATGTTAGAGTTATTTTCTGCAGACAAGGGGCAAATATTTGCCTCTGAACTGGTCTGAATGATTCCCTGCACATCTATTTTTGTAGCCAGTATGTACTTCCAGTGGAAACTTTCAAACACATATTGAGGAAAATGTGATAGTTGAATTAACATGGGCTTAAAATACTTGTTTACCAGCTGTATAAAACAGTTTGTTTGCATCGAAAGGAAGGCTGCTAAGTTTTGTTTTGATGAGTTATAATTGCTGATACTGGCATACCGATGTCCAGTATATTCTGATAAAGGGATGTTTGCATATTTCCCTGGTCATGAAATGAATAGAACGAGAGAATGACTGGCTGTGGCTGAGATCAGAGACCATATACCAGGTTGGGTAACTTACCGATGAGCCAATAATAGGCCAAATCTGTATACTTGTATATGTCGGTATATGGTTTCTACTGAGATGTAACAGTTTGACCATGTTGATAACTCACGTTAGTTTCTTTCGTGGCAGTCCCTTATCATAATGTGCTTGATGACAATCAGTGAATGAGTTGGCTCCTCAATGTGAGCTCAAATAATTTTACTTCGCTTCATATCTGATGGTAAATGTCTCTTACAGTTACAAGTATATGTTCTTTATGAATGAAACATCATGTTGGCAATATCTGGTTTAAAACAAAAGAACAATTATGTCCTCATGTAAAGATAACCCACTGAATATGTACAATTACCTGTGAAATGTTGAAATCGTGAAGACTATCAGAGGCCTGTCTAAAACAGTACAAAACTGTTTTGGTGTACACATGCCCATTCGCTCACCAGTTCCACTTGCTGGGAGCACAACACCACAATTAAAATCAACAAATTTGCTCATCATGGAGAAAAACGTTCAGTGTGTTCGATAAATGTTATGAACAAAACCGCGATTATTCGTCATTTACACTCCCCACAGCGAAGTCAGTGCTGAATATATATTACTCATCACTAAAACACGTCGTGGGGAGTTGCAAACACGTTTTGATGTTTTTGTTTGTAACGTTGCTGTTGATTGGTGCGAACTTTTATTTCCGGTTTGGATCAGAACATTAACCAATGAAAAGGTTTGGTTTCATCGTAGGCACATCGTTAGAATCATCATGGCTGACAATGAGCCAATGCATGATTCCGAGAAGAAAGAAGTTAGCCAATTTGGCTTTAAAAAGCGGACTAATAGACAGGCATCAAGACGAAAACAAGCTTCAAGTAGTGAAGGTTATTTTGTTTTTATTTTTGTCATAATTTAATTCGTAGATGCCACTCAAACGCGCTGTAGCAAGAATGCGACCTCATACACGACATTTCTGATTTCTCATAATCATATCATGAAGCAGTTGGTGTACCTTGATTTGTGTCGGGCCCTACACCGAAGTTTATGCCTGTGTACTCAGTATGTTGCTATTTGAGGAATTGCTAATTCGGTTGGGGTCAATTTAGTCGTTTGTTAATTACTCAAATGAGAGGCTAGATGATCGAGGTAAACTTTCTGTTGGGATCATTGTTTGCTATGATACTACATGAATTTTCTTTATAAACAATGATCAAATACATATTTCCATACAAATGTGTACCCAATAAAGTTTTTTTAGTTTTTGTGCAAACAGGTAACACTCATTTCTCAGTAAGTACAGCAGTGACTTGTATTAATATTTCTTCAATACTCTTTCAGAGAGTGACAGTGACAGCGATAGTGGGAATGTGGCTGTGAAACGACAGAAGACACAGTTAAACAGAAACCCACTGGTTCAGTCGGTATGTAGAAGTCAGGAAAGGTATTAGGGTAATATAACCTCCATGATCCTTGCAGAATCATTTTTCTGTGATCATGTAAACAAATCAACATTTTATAAATTATGTAGTAGTCATCATGATCATGTTTCTTGTTTGAAAGCATCAGTCTTTACATCAGCTGTGAGGGCAAACCCAATACACATAAAATAGCCCCACAATATACCATATTTACTTTCTAAATAATCACTACTGTGTGGTTGCATTCAGAACCAGTTGGTAATAGAGATATAGTATGTAGGTCTGGAAACAACACATGATTTCAAGGTATGCATAAATTTCGATGCAGCACTCAAATTACTGATCAGTTGTTATAATATATCAAGCATTACACTCTTCTCTTGTTTCTCTATTTGTTATAGGCTTGCCACAAAATTGTCATGTAACACAGAGTATACCTACATAATTTGACAAAGTTTTGTTTCCAGTAAGTTTAGTTCAAAGGTCATTTTGACATGACACAAGAAAATTAAGATAAACCTAAAGTTCAAATCAAGATCCATAAGAATCCCATCACAATACTTCCTGTTGAGAGATATGCGAGTATGTTGTTTACATTGCAATGCTAGAAGTCAGGAAACTGGATCAGTTGTTTATGGTTTGATTTAACAAATGTAATGCATGTAATAAGAAATATACTTTCTAAAGTTTAATTTGATGTTTCATTTTTTGTGAATATCAGTGAGGTGAAATTGGGTTTAACGTCGTGCTTGAGAATATTTCGCTCATATGACGACGTGCATGTGTGTGTATGTGTATGTGCGGCTGTTTGTACTAGCCCAGACTGAAGCTGGTTTTATAGTGCTAGCTCACTGAGATACCATGCCGCAGTGAAGCATGAATACAGCGTTGCAAACTCCCGCCTGCCCGACCGTCCGGGACGGTCTGTTTTGCGACCTCGCGGTCAGTTTTAAAAAGTTGCACGCCCGATGGTCTGGCTGTTGAATCAGCGTAATTTTGTAATGTATATAATGACTAAAAACATTTAAAAACGTGTTATTGTGACAATAACCTGACATTAAATAGTTCCCTCCTCCTATTTACCTCCTCTATATTTTATCTTAATCCTGAAAATTCTGGACTGGTAACTTTCCAGCCGGTCTGGTAACTTTTGAGAATTACCAGACCAGTTGTCTGGCCGAAATTTTGGGGAGTTTACAACACTGAATGAATACCCCACTCCGACACACATTACTCCCAGCTGACCAGTCCTTGTTGTACCCATTAAAGCCGTGCGCCAGGCAGGGACCAACAAGTACCATATTTTAATGTCTTTTGGTATGACGCGATCAGGGATCGAACCCGCGACCTTCCACTCTCAGGGCGGACGCTCTAACCACTACACCACGGAGGCGGTCTTGTGAATATCAATTAATCTCCCGATCTCACTGATAATTGCTGACACAAGCAACATGGATTGACTGACCAATTATTCCTTCAGTTGCTCCACAAGTATGGCACAGTACGACAATTTTATTACATGTAGTATTGCATCACAATCTTTTCTTTTGCCAGAAATTCATTAAAACAGTGACCGATCTCTTTTTAATATAAATTTCCAGTTAAGTTGTGGGGATTTTGAAAAATAAATTGCTTAGATGTTTAGAACAACACAAGAACTGACACCACATAAGTATTGACCTTTCTGGTATTGTATGTTGCCTTTGACAGTCTGGGTTGATATGTGGAAATTTACCAATATTTATTCACTGTAATATGTAATATTGGTGAATGCTCAATCAGCTGTTGAGATATATGTACAACAAACATCAGATATACTGTTTGCTGAATTACAAGATGCTTTCCCTTTTATCATTATTTAGACAAAGAGAGCGGTGGTGACAAATAATGCTGACTACAGCAGTGAAAGCTCCGAGGAGGACCAGAGGCTGTCCATGGTATACAAGTCAAGTCGAACAGGGGTAAGGAAACAGATTGATGCTCATGTTGTTGATCACTGGATTGTCTGGTCCAGGCTCGATTATTTACAGAGCGCCGCCATATAGCTGGAATATTGCTGAGTGCGGCGTAAAATTCAACTCACTCACTGTATATATGGTAAGCTTAGCTCAATATATGTTTAAAGACTGCCACAACTTCAGCATTGTTTGATAATCTAAATACCTACCCAAAATGGATTATAATAGGACTGTAATCATGGTAACAGAAAACCTCCTGAATGTGTATACAAGGGTAAGCTTATTTTTCAATGATCTGCAGATTTTCAGAATGGTCCACATTGGTAACTGGAAGGGCCAACATGTTATTGGTTAGAATTAGTCTTCAGCAATCAGTACTTGTGAGAACTAACAGTATCAGGTGGTCAGTCTTGCTGACTTGCTTGTGTCATCTCATCCCAGAATGTCAGTCACTGGATTGTCAGATCCTGACTCTATTACGTACAGACCACCTTCATGTCACTCAAATATTGCTAAGTGAAGCTATAAGAAATATACATGGGATATTCCCAGATGACTTGGCTGGCTGCTTCTTTAAAGGGAGACTACTCTGTGAACTATAGTTCCAGTAACATGGATTTTCCATGGAAACATAGCTAAAATAATACTTGAGTTTAATAATTGTTAGTGATTCCAGATGTACATCCAGATAAATGTTTCATGAATCTTCTTCACTAGAAGCGAGAAGGGCCAGGTGACATGGGAGCCACGGCCATTGTGGAGATAGACACTGCTCTAGAGCAGGATGCACAAGCCATCTTTGAGAGAGCTCAGATCATCAACAAGGAACTGAAGGGTAAAGAAGATGACAAGCTTTACAGGGGTCTCAACAACTACGCTGTATACTTTGAGAAGAAAGACACAGCGGCGGGAAATGCTTCCAGTGGAAGTGTCAGGTAGGACTGTCTGCATGTCGGTTGTCAGTTAGGACTGTCTGCATGTCGGTTCACAGGTAGGACTGTCTGCATGTCGGTTGTCAGGTTGAACTGTCTGCATGTTGGTTGTCAGGTAGGACTGTCTGCATGTCGGTTGTCAGGTAGGACTGTCTGCATGTTGGTTGTCAGGTAGAACTTTCTGCATGTCGGTTGTCAGGTAGGACTGTCTGCATGTCGGTTGTCAGGTAGGACTGTCTGCATGTCGGTCGTCTGCAATGTCAGGGTAGACTGTCTGCATGTCTGGTTGTCAGGTAGACTGTCTGCATGTCGGTTGTCAGGTAGAACTGTCTGCATGTCGGTTGTCAGGTAGACTGTCTGCATGTTGGTTGTTAACTAGGACTGTATAGATATTAACATTGTTGCTTTTTGACAGAGTGTACATACTGAACAAAGGGAGACATAGTTTTGGCCAGTCCCCACCCTTCCATCATGTTCAGTCTTGTAGGAAAAAGAAGGAAAACCCATTAGACCCTCCTCAAGATACAGTTGATCTCAGTCTTTCAATTCTTTGATCATTTGCAAATGAATGCATTACCCTTTGTGTTAAAGAAGGATGTGTACTGGCAATGTACATGCTACACTCAGAAAGTGCCAGGGTAGATATTGTACCATGTATATCTTGTAGACCTTGTACTGGTCACAGTGATACTGATGCACACAGACTTTCAGGTCTTTGAGTGCAATCTGGGTGTTACAAGTTGGTGTTACTACTATTGAATGTCTTTAAACAGTAAATACAAGGTATTCTGTTATCAATGACTATAATGTCTCTGTGTGCTGTTTCAGGAAAGGTCCAATCAGAGCACCAGCCCACCTGAGGGCGACTGTGAGATGGGACTACCAACCGGATATCTGTAAAGACTTCAAGGAAACTGGCTTTTGTGGATTTGGAGGTAAGGTTAATCTGCATTCATGTCATAGAGAGATACAATTGCAGAGTTTTAGAGCAAAGTCAACTGATTCATCATATCTTCTGACTCTTAATAAATAGAGTCTTATTGCTCATGTTTGGCTCACCATGTTGACATTATCATAGTGATCTTATGGCATGAAACTTTGTCTGGTGCCATTATGTCTGTCAGTCAGTGTGTCCATCAATCCGTACTGAGGGTGAAAAGGACGTCAAAGTGTTTGTATTTCTGGAGTTAGTTTTTTAAAATTGCAAGCATTCAGCCATATGTTGATGTTGTACATTCCAGACAGCTGCAAGTTCCTGCACGACCGAGGTGATTACAAACATGGCTGGCAGCTGGAACGAGATGAACAAAAGGCTAACAAAGAAGGTGAGTGCAACGTCTGTTAGAGCCTTGTGTGTTTTACTTTGCCTTCCCTTTTATACATACTTCAGGAATGATGGGCTAGCATAGTGGTTAATGTATTGCCTGTCACACAAATGACTTGTTTGATCCCCACATGTGAAAAACCCATTCTTTGGTGCCTCTTCCGGTTAACACCGTATTCAGAATATTCCAGCTGTATTGAAGCGGTCTGTAAATAATCTGTACCCTGTTGTAAGCTAGCGAATCACACAAAAAATGCTGTTGTTTGTTATTTATTTCTAATTCCTTTCAACATGATCCTGTTAACATAAACATGAGTGTAATGTTTTGACATGATACTGTTTACATTACGATACAGGACAGACCATTGTTTAAAATCTAAGAGTGAGTGAGTGAGTTTAGTTTTATGCCGCACTCAGCAATATTCCAGCTATATGGTGGCGGTTTGTAATGAATCCAGTCTAGACCAGACAATCCAGTGATCAACAGCATGAGCATTGATTGTCATCCAAGTCAGCGAGCCTGACCACCCGATCCCGTTAGTCGCCTCTTACGACAAGCATGATGTTTTACTCTCCTTTCTCATCAAAGTGACGGAGGTCAGGACAAACAGAGGTAGTGAGTGAGTGAGTGAGTGAATATAGCTTAATGCCGCTTTTAGCAATATTCCAGCACGGATGGGGACACCAGAAATGGGCTTCACACATTGCACCCATATGGGATATCAAACCCAGGTCTTCAGCATGATGAGCAAACGATTTAACCACTAGGCTACTCCACCACCCCAAACAGTGGTAGACATGAGCAATGAACTACATCTGACAAACCAGGTCACACAGTGTAACCTTATGATCCACCATCTTAGATCTTACAACCCTTTGAAGATCCAGGTTCGAATATTGATCTTCAGTAACCCATACTTTTCTGCCTCTCTATTTGCTGTTGATGTCTCTTCCATACAGAGGACCCGTGAAGGTCCGGGTTAGAATGAACCTTCAGTAACCCATGCTTGTCGTAAGAGAGACTAACAGGATTGGGTGGTCAGACTCGCTGACTTGGTTGACACATGTCATCGGTTCCCAATTGTGCAGATAGATGCTCATGTTGTTGATCACTGGATTGTCTGGTCCAGACTCGATTATTTACAGACCGCCGCCATATAGCTGGAATATTGCTGAGTGCGGCGTAAAACTAAACTCACTCACTCACTCCATACAGAGGCTGCATGCTCTATATACAGTCATCCTTTGTGATACCAAAATAACCAAAATCTGTGGCTCCCATAAAAAAGTTCCCAGTGATCACTCATCTTTACGTCATCAGAAATAGCATATAAACAAATCTGCTGTTATGCTCAGGTTAATCATGTTGTAAACTAGCGGAATTTATGTATATGTTTACAACTAATTATACCCCCGCTACGAAGTAACGGGGGTATATAGCGTTCATTCTGTCCTTCTGTCTTTCCGTCCGTCCGTAGCATATCTCTTAAAGTTTGCATGCTAGGTTCACCAAACTTCACACACATGTTAATCATTACCCATTGATGTGCCTTTTGCTACTTTAAATTTTTTTCAGAATTTGTTTTGTTGTTGTGTTTCCATAAATTGTTACTGTAATCAGTACACATTGTCACATTATATATATCAATATCAGTCATTTCCATGTCCCAAAGTGGGAAGCGGGGGTATGTGAGCTGTGCTCACTTCTTCACTTGTTGTACTTCTTGTGTCATTCCAGATGATCGGAACTACGAGATCAGCAGTGATGAAGATGACCTCCCTTTCAAATGCTTCATATGTCGAAATTCATTCAAGAACCCGATAGTTACAAAGTGAGTGAGTCTGTAGCAGTGAACACTGAACTGACTATGTTCTCCCCATAAACAGCAGGCATTGTGACAATGCTGTCTCACATATATGGAAGTGATTAAGTGATTTGCAATATTCAATCGCTGAATAACAATTGCTGATGTCTATCTGGACCAACTCAGAGGTTGATTTTCACTCCTAGTCTTCTGCAAGTGACAGTAAAAAGTTCATAATATAAATGAAAAATTCCTATTTCTTCCGAATTTATGAAATCAACACTATTGATAAAAGTCAGCTAGTTAGAACATGCACACTCGCACAATGTACGTGCAATATTCTTGAACGCAATGAACGACCTCATTTCACATCACCTTTAACTGTGAGTCAGAATGCTTGACTTTAGCCGGATAAGTTCATGTTAGGTCACAGTGTTGTTCACAGTCTATAAACATGATACATCTTTGTCCTTTTTTCAGATGCAAGCACTATTACTGTGAGAAGTGTGCACTGAGTCATTACAAGAAATCCAGACGATGCTTTGTGTGTAATGAACAAACCAATGGTGTGTTCAACCCTGCTAAAGGTGAGTCTGTGTGTGAGCTATAGAAGATGCTTTGTGTGTAGTGAACAAACCAATGGTGTGTTCAACCCTGCTAAAGGTGAGTCAGTGTGTGAGCTGTAGAAGATGCTTTGTGTGTAGAGAACAAACCAGTGGTGTGTTCAACCCTGCTAAAGGTGAGTCAGTGTGTGAGCTGTAGAAGATGCTTTGTGTGTAGAGAACAAACCAGTGGTGTGTTCAACCCTGCTAAAAGTGAGTCAGTGTGTGAGCTGTAGAAGATGCTTTGTGTGTAGAGAACAAACCAGTGGTGTGTTCAACCCTGCTAAAGGTGAGTCAGTGTGTGAGATATAGAAGATGCTTTGTGTGTAATGAACAAACCAGTGGTGTGTTCAACCCCTGCTAAAAGGCGAGTCTGTGTGTGAGATATAGAAGATGCTTTGTGTGTAAGAACAAACCAGTGGTGTGTTCAACCCTGCTAAAAAGGTGAGTCAGTGTGTGAGCTATAGAAGATGCTTTTGTGTGTAGAGAACAAACCAGTGGTGTGTTCAACCCTGCTAAAGGTGAGTCTGTGTGTGAGATATAGAAGATGCTTTGTGTGTAGAGAACAAACCAGTGGTGTGTTCAACCCTGCTAAAGGTGAGTCTGTGTGTGAGATATAGAAGATGCTTTGTGTGTAATGAACAAACCAGTGGTGTGTTCAACCCTGCTAAAGGTGAGTCTGTGTGTGAGATATAGAAGATGCTTTTGTGTAGAGAACAAACCAGTGGTGTGTTCAACCCTGCTAAAGGCGTTAGTCTGTGTGTGAGATAGAAGATGCTTTTGTGTGTAAGAACAAACCAGTGGTGTGTTCAACCCTGCTAAGGTAGTGAGTCTGTGTGTGAGATATAGAAGATGCTTTGTGTGTAATGAACAAACCAGTGGTGTGTTCAACCCTGCTAAAGGTAAGTCTGTGTGTGAGATATAAGATGCTTTGTGTGTAGAGAACAAACCAGTGGTGTGTTTCAACCCTGCTAAAGGTAAGTCAGTGTGTGAGCACATTGCTAAAGGTGAAGTCAGTGTGAGGAGCTGTAGAAGATGCTTTGTGTGTAATGAACAAACCAGTGGTGTGTTCAACCCTGCTAAAGTAAGCGAGTCTGTGTGTGATATAGAGAGATGCTTTGTGTGTAGAGAACAAACCAGTGGTGTGTTCAACCCCTGCTAAAGAGAAAGTCTGTGTGTGAGATATAGAAGATGCTTTGTGTGTAGAGAACAAACCAGTGGTGTGTTCAACCCTACTAAAGGTGAGTCTGTGTGTGTGAGCGATAGAAGATGCTTTTTGGGTAGAGAACAAACCAGTGGTGTGTTCAACCCTGCTGCTGTGAGTCTGTGTGCAAAGGAGATATAGAAGATGCTTTGTGTGTAATGAACAAAGCAGTGGTGTGTTCAACCCTGCCAAAGGTAAGTCAGTGTGTGAGCTGTAGAAGATGCTTTGTGTAGAGAACAAACCAGTGGTGTGGTTCAACCCTACTAAAAGGTAAGTCTGTGTGTGTGAGCACAATAAAAGATGCTTTGTGTGTAATGAACAAACCAGTGGTGTGTTCAACCCTGCTAAAGGTAAAGCCTGTGGTGTGAGCTGTAGAGATGCCTTGTGTGTAGAGAACAAATCAGTGGTGCTGTTCTAACCCTGCTAAAGAGCGAAGTCAGTGTGTGGCGATAGAAGATGCTTTTTTTGGTGAGAGAACAAACCAGTGGTGTGTTCAACCCTGCTAAAGGTGAGTCTGTGTGTGAGATATAGAAGATGCTTTTGTGCAATGAACAAACCAGTGGTGTGTTCAACCCCACTAAAGGTAAAGTCAAAAGTGTGAGCTGTAGAGGAGTGCTTTTATTGTGTAGAGAACAAACCAGTGGTGCAGTTCAACCCCACCAGTTGCAAAAGTCAGCGCCAGTGTGATTTACAGAAGATGTTTCAAAATGTTCAAACCAGCGGGTGCGTTCAACCCAAGCAAAGGATTAATCAACGACGATCCGACCATATGTCAATATCCAGATCAATTGATAATGAA